AGGATGGACACGGACTGAGGGGCGCTGAGAGCTGCTGGCCAGTAAATCATCCCAGAATGAATTGGGTGGAAAAAGGAGAAATTGTCACTGGGACCCAATCTTTACTGCTACTCACCTGCCCAAGAGAATGATGGCCTCTTGGCTTTGCTGCAACATCTTATGTGGGCAGCCTGTGATATGAAGCCAGATAAATCTGCTTGAACAGATCTTGGATTCACAGAGCTGCTCTCTCCAGAAGAAGAGGTTGTAACTCCAGAGTCAGAAAGGACTTGGGAAATGATACTGGAAGCCAAATCCACTGCCTTTATCCAATGGTAACACCAGGATACACCAGCAAAAAGTACTGAGGGTCCCCAGGTGAAAGGACACCCTGAAACAGCACTGTGTGCAACATCTTGGAGTGCTGCTTTGCACAGTAATGGTAGTTGCTCATCGTTTAGAGAGTTCTGTCTGAAAGTAGGTGAAACCCACCTGCAACCCCTTGCTAAGAGATGGGTTTTCACTGCAGAAGAGCTACAAAAATGAACTACCAGTAAAAGGAGTTGGAGATTTTGGAGCTCTGTGTAAAGAGCTTTCTTGGAGCCCCAGCTCTTGCTTTCTGCAGTGAACCTGCTCCATTAATAGTTACTGCTGGATCCTGGTGCTCACAGTCTGTGTCTGTGTCTTGGTATTATGCATTTTCAATATGTCCTAGTAGTTCATGCTGCTCCTGACAGCTCAAAGGATTGGTGGCTAATTGTACCATGTGGGAATACTTCACTGCAGTTCAGGCACAGGGTCTGGATAGAATCTAGGTCACTAATAGCACCCTAAGGAGAGGGAACCAGGGATCAATGATGTAGTATTTGAACAGGCTACTTAGAAACCTTGTGGAATCTCCATCCCTGGAAATTTTCAAGAGCAGATTGGACAGATCCCTGGCTGGGATATTTTACTCGGGGAGGATCCTGTCTTCTGGAGGGGCCTGGGCTAAATGACCTTGTGAGGCCCCTTCCAGCTAGACTTTTTATGATCATATGTAACTCAAACCTATCCTCCTCCCTCTCCTGGCATCTGTGAGTGATTGTAGTATGAAGAGATTATTGACTCAGAGACTTTCGAAATGCATCATGAACAGCCCCGCTTCAAGCAGGTTGCCGAGGTTCTCTTTGAAGGGGACTGGAGCAGGGCTGGGTGGAAAACCACAAACCAGTTTTGTTAATGGTTCTGAGTTTTCCAAATTTGCTCTTGTTCTGAGGCAGAAGCTGCTCCTGGCCTGAGGGCCCCCTGGAAGGGTGAGAGAGGTAAGCATGAGTCTGAGGAGGGATTTCTTCTCAGTAATGTTGTATGAGCATTAAAACATTACTGAAAGAATGTGCAGGAGAAGAGCTCCAGGTGTGGCTTTGAACTGGGGGCCTCAGGGTAAGGCCAATCAGCCCAGTCTGCCACCTCATTAGCAAATAACTAACACCAATGCAAGTGGCCAGAACCTTTCATGTAAGTCTAGCCACACACCCACTCCCTGCCACCAGAGTGGATCACCAGGGTTAGCTCACCTTTCATCCCTTCCTATATAAACTCCTGACTCAGGAGGGGAAGCATCTGGACAGCAGGGCTTAACCTTGAATTTAGGTTGCTGCACCATTTGCTTGTGCCGTTACTGGCTCTGATGGATTCTCTAGTTTAGCTGACCCAGCAAGCCCAAGAACCCTGAATTAGCCCTGACCCCTTGATCCCTCACCCAACTCTGGTCTGGGATACCCAGCTTGGCTGGTCTTCTGACCCTGTGTTCTGCCTGACCCTCTGGATATCTGACTCGGTTCCTAGGGTGGATCTTCTGGCTATGTCTCCCTGGCTCCCCTACATACAGACTGTTCACGGTCCCATTGGATCTCAGTTGCTTCTTCTGACCCTGGGTGATACCCATACCTAGCTGCCCATGACTTGACCTGACAGCGGGGCTCACTACTTATCTCACCAAAAGACCTATAGCATTGCTTATATCACTAAGATATATTGCCACCTCAGGTGAAAGAGTCAGCCGGGAGCCACTGCAACAGCAGGACACCTGGGGTACCTCCAGCCTCCCTCATGAAATCTCCCCTCCCTCTTCTAGCTTCTTTGGGAAATCCACCTCTCCCTGTCCTGATGTGGTGAGCATGTTTGTTATTACCCTGAAATAGAATAGTTTTCTGATAGCATACTGTTAAGTTAACAATAATTTGGATTATTAAGAAGTATTAGCTTTACAGCTGAATACAAGGCATGACCTGTGGCCTAGCAATGCAGCTGACCACAAGGCAGAATGATAGCTAAGCCTTTGCTTGTGTCAAGTAATCATTTTAACTGTATTAAGCATTTTCTGAGTTAAAAAGTGGATCTGTGTCTGTGTGCTGAAAAATCAGCTACAGCAAGAAGTAAGATAAGACAGGGAAGCCATTGTTCTGGGTGCAGTGGTTGTGTCCTTGAGAAGTATCTACTACTGTGTAAGGTTTTGCTAACATATTATAATGTTACTGTTACTTAACTTTTAGCTTTTAAAAAAAGTGCTAGTTCAGCTTTATAGAAATATGCTGTTACAAAGATTTGTAAAGCACCGCCCAAGTATTGCTTTTTTGTTAACCCTGTAAGTCTTGCCTTATTGTAATAAGTATAAAAGATCGCCTCACCCTTGAGGGGGGGCCATTTTGCCTTTTGCTGGCTTTATGGTCTTTGCTCGAGCAAATAAACAGCTGTCTGTCTTTACCCGCGTTGTCTGTCTATCAAATTACAG